GAGAGAGAGAGAGAGAGAGAGAGAGAGAGAGAGAGAGAGAGAGAGAGAGAGAGAGAGAGAGAGAGAGAGAGAGAAAACCTGGTAAGGGTATCTTTTACCACAGAGGCAAAGTGCTGCACTGGACTTGTGTGTTTGCTTAACCCCTTCATTGCCACTGGGTAGGTGTTCTTACCGCCAGCACTCATTTTAAGCCACAGCTCGTTCACCTTCGTCTGACCGAGGTTAAAATGGGATTTTTTTAAAAATCGCTCTGTTTAATCTTTCTAGGTCTTTGCATGCGGGTCTAAAAGTTAAGCGACCAACAGAATCTAAAACTTTATTCATAAAAGTCACTGCAAACTAAGGTTCCGACACTTTTTCTTTGAAGTGAGCCTACAGCGGGTCAAAAAAATAACAGGGGAATTACAGCATACACCTAAAACATTAAAAAGTTGACATATTTTCCTCAAGACCACTCTTTAATGTTTGCCTGAGAAACACGATTCAAGGGACGGGAGAGTATTTTTCCGAGACTCACACGGAGAAGTCTAAGACAGCCAGGGGATGAAATCGACAGGCTCACACTGAAACGTGGGGGCAGGGTGGTGTCACCGTCTCAAAATGAACAATTTGAAGGCAAGGCTACTGAAGTAATTTATTTTAGTGATCCTGCGTATACATCCAAAGAGTGGTTTTTAATACAGGGCCCACTTTTTTATTACTGGGTCTAGATTTTAAATTTAAAACATTTTTGTTTGGTCGTGTGGCCTGTATAGGTGCGATGCAAAGTTTCGTGGGCATAGGTAAATTCCTCAGTGAGCTAGAATTTTTTAACGCGTTCAGATGAAAGTGAAGAAGCTATAGGTTAGGCTACCGGACTCGTAATCGCGAGATTGCGACTTCGGGGGGTTCGAGCCTCAGCTCCGTCCGACGTTGTGTCCTTGGGAAAGGCACTTTACACGAACTTCCCACTTGGCTCGGTCCTATTGGAGACGGACGTGTCCCGCCCCTTAAATAACCTAATAGTGTTGATAAGGGCGTTAAACCTAAGCCATTTCACCATTTCATTTATAGGTTCTTTGACCGGGACAGTGGCCTCACCAGTCCTCAGGGTTAGTGGACTCGCTGTCTAGATCTAGCCCACTCATGACACATTCGGACCCCGGGTCTTCGATGGTGTCACCCTCCTCGCCTTCTTCATTCTCGTGTTGCCAATCTCCAACATATATTCCCAATCTCCACCACATTCTCCAACAACTTGCAAATCTGAGTCAAAACGTGAAATGTACCGTCTTTTTTCCAATCACTTAGGTGTTAACGTTTTGTGAGAGCAGGATTTCGTCTACAAGGCCAGACCTGTGTTTATCGATTGCTTGCAAGCCTAGCAGTAAAGCAATACTAGCGAATTCGGTACCATTATACGCAATTTTATTCTTGAATACGAATGCATACTGCACTTACGGTTAAATCTCCCTACAGAAGAACGACAGCCCGATGAAAAGTCATACATGCAACCAAGAATGACAAATCTTGCCAATTTTCATGACGTCCATGGCACGGCACAAAGCTAAAAAATTACGCATTTTCGTGTCATACCGGGTACATCATAAGGCAACGAAAGCGGTAAAAATAAAAGAGCTAACTTACAGCCACCTACCTGTTTAATAGTAATCCTTTCAAGGATGCAATATCTGCTTTAAGATCTGATATTCCTCTGTCATTGTTCATAACTGGGAACTGGGGACAAACACATACCGTAGTCACAGTCAGATAATGAAATACAGTATCAAGATGACTTATACAATACTTCAAAGCAAAAAGAATTGAGAAAAATGCAAACGGCGAATTAAACAACGAAGAGCTACAGTTAGATACTGTCATACAGGAGCAAGCCGGCTTATACAAAACTTTAAAAACAAAAAGAATGAGAAAAATGCAAATCATGATTTAAGATGGTACGAATAGTTCTATATGCCCAAAAATTGACGACAGTACCGGATTCCACTGCGTCGTGACACATACGACCTCATTGTGTTGCAAGTGCCGTAAACGTCCTTACTAAAACTTTTTTAAAAATATCGTAATAACTAGAATTTCAGTGCCCCCGGGAAAACAAAGTGTGTGTGCTTACCTGTGGCTGCTGGTTCTGTAGACTCGCCTGCATTGCCGCCAGAGTTTTGTTCAACTCTCCCAGGGAGTCCGACACAGACTTCTGTATGTCCACGACCTTCGACTCTAACCGCTCCATTCGCTTCTCTTGAGAAGTTTTACCCAAAAGCAACGGACGAAGGTATTTCTGGAAATAATTTTTTTTTTAAATGCAATGAGGTAGGGGAAAGCATAAGAGTAAACCAACATCCCAACATAGTTCTAGTGGCGTCGGTGGCCTAGTGGTTAGGCTCTCGGACTCGCAACCGTAAGGTCGTGGGTTCGAATCCCGTCAAGGGCCCGACGTTGTGTCCTTGGGAAAGGCACTTTACACGTATGTTCCTCACTGCTGTTGAGCGGGGATATGCGCTATACAAATGCTATCTATTATTATTATTGTACCAAACTCCCACACACACAAAAAAACTTGTCTTAATCAGACAGATAACAAACATTTCCAGGGGGCTCTCGTGGCCTAGAGGTTAAGGTGTTGGCCTCTCATTCAAAG